CAGCTCTCAGGCGGAGCCATGAGGGAGGCGGAGGGTCCCCAAGGACATTGGCAGGTGCTGACATTGGATCTCACAGCGCCACCACCCACCCCTAGTGTCTCCCGGGAGCACATCATCTGTAGCCCTGGCCCGACTGCTTTCTCCCTGAGGCCTCAAATCAGTGCCTTGGGCTTCCGAGGGCTGGTAGCAGTCACACCTCAGTCAGTGTCTCTGTGCACCAGACCTCCCAGCATCTGAGCAAAGCCATGTCTTCCTCCATGAAGCCCGTGACTTCCCGCGCTGGTCGGCTCGAAGCAAAGGTGCGCCGGCAGGACACCACGTGGCCGGCCCTGTAGGCGGCTCTCCCCTCCCGGGCTGGGCAGGAGCGTCCCGGTGCAGGTGTGGGGGTGGTAAGGGGAGCAGTGCCGCGCGCTCTGCTCTAGTGCTAGTCAGTGTTAGAGCTAAAGTTTTAAATGACCCTCCCAGCTCTCAAATTCCACAATTCTCTACTCTGTCTTGTCTTTTCCTTTTTTTTTTTTCAGTTTCTGGGGCCCAGTGATTTTTATCTCAGCTGGTCTGCACGCTGTAAAACTATGAAGCAAGGAGACAGCTGTGTCCGCTCCTCTGCGGTAGCCGCAGCTGTCCCCATGACGAGCTCGTGTCGCGTGTGATAAAATCGGTAATCACGGCTGGTGCTGTTTTCAGCTGTGAAGATTTTAAAGCCCAGTCTACGAACTCAGAGACTTGGGGTGCTCTTTCCCCGAGGAGCGCTGCTCACGCAGGGCGCTCTGTGTCCTTCGATTCGTTGTGAACTGCGTGCTGAGCTCAGCCCTCGGGAGAGAGTGAGTCTGCTTTGGGGGTCTGGGGGCAGACGTGAGCGTCACGTGTCCACCTGGCTTCATTTCCCTGCTTGGACTGTGAGGTTCAATCTAGTGAAACAGCAGTGCTCCTGAAAAGTTGGCTGGGAAACAAATTCTGATGGCTAAATCACACTTACCCATTGATCTGCATTCTTAAATTAAGCATGCGTTCCCCTGAGGAAATAATCGGCCCCAAGATTAAATATACATTATACTAACCACTCGATAAACCTTTTAAAATCACTTATTTAAAGAAAGTCTTCTGTTAGGACACAAATAGTGGTATTTTTCAAAGTCAAGAAATAGAAATACTTTGCAAGAGCAGTGGCCAGAGGTGGCGCTGTCTTGGGAGCAGAGCCACTTGAGGTTGGGTGAGCAAGAGTCCCCGCCTTTTTTTTTTTCAATTAAATTTGGCCTGCCATTCTGAGTCTATCAGTCAATCCGTTGATTCACAAGAAGTTGACAAATTTCAGATTATGTGAACTACTCTTCCAGGCGCCTTGAGAGCCCGAGGTGTCCGGGACGTGGTCCCTGCCGTCAGAGTCTCAGGTGCACGGGAAAATAAGACAGTGCACACGGTGTGAAGAAACCACCGGAAGGCACATAATGGCTGCAGGAGCGGTGTGGGGACACTGGGACACCTGGCGTGCTGCCACTAGCCAACGTCGCACGTGAGAAAATACAGAACTGACCGAAGCCACTAAGTCCCAGACTTAGTTATACATGAGAATTTCCTAGTGAAATTATTAACACTCCTCATCCCAGGAGATTCTGATTTCGTAGGTGAGGGTGGGATCTAGCACTCTACATTCAGACGACTATTCCAGGCAGATCGACTGAAATCAGCCTATGTCCCAGCTCTGTTGACCTCTTTTCCCTTTTTATTTCTTCTAATGTTCTTTGTAAGTTCTCCATTCAAGTGATAAAGCCTCAATCACTTCATAGCCAGAGCACAAATGCTATTAAAGGAAAACTTCCCTTGAATCATGGACTCTTTAAATTCAGGTTTCAGTTTAGAGGGGGGTGTTTTTGTTTTTGGTTTTTGTTCACTTGTGTAAGCATTGCCTAAAGAAACCACATTTCTGGTGATCCAAAGTGTAATTTGTTCTGTGTACCCTGATTGTCTTTCTCTGCAGCGTTGCAATGTTTGCTTCTAGCTGAGGGAAAAAAAGAAAAAAGTATGTGGGAAAAAAGGTGACAATAATGACACTGAAAGCTAAAATATTTAAAGCATTTTACTGTATACAAATTACCTTTCATTTGCCTTTTCCAACTTAATCAGAGAGCAGACATAGAAAAATCTATGAGCAATGATTGCGCTTTTGGTCTGTGGAACACACGACAGTAAGATTAAGCTTCATTGGATTTTGCAGGATGGCTTAAGCGTAAACCCTCTCCCTCTGGTAACACTGACCTAGACCCGTGGAGAACATGAACCTTCCCCAGCTCTCAAGCCGTCTAACTTCCTTCCCTACATGAAACCGCCTGATATTAACACATTAAACCCCCCATACCCGAGCACACGTGTCCCCACAAAAGCTGGGTACGGTTTGATTGCGATTGCCCCACTACTTCCGTCCGTGACGGCGGTCCCCTCAGCTTCTCCATCTGGGCGCTCCTGTAGCAGGTGCCTCCAAGCTCGGGCCCTGTGAGTCCTACGGAGCTCACGCAAGAGCGTGGCCGGACGGCAGAATTAACGCGGACGCGTGGTCTCTCATCGCAGAGAAGAGACCCAGAGAACCCCGCGTCGTGTTGTGTCCTTGCTTTGAAGGTGCGGTGCACAGCCTCCCGGGGGATCTGAGGTCCTCCCAGTCACTGTTCCAACACTGGAGCTCAGTCCAAAAACAGCTGTCCGGAGCTAATGTATTCCCTCGTGTGACGGCACTGTTAATTTATAAATGACACTGGTAATCCGCGCTATTATTAATTTCAGATGGTGTAGGGCAAGCCTAATTAAAATATGACACCAACTGCCACACATATGTACCAAGGACCACCATTTAAAATTAATGGGGATATTAAGTGTGACACTGGTCTCGGCGATGCTCTGCACAGTAATTACAGCATTCCAGCAGGGGAGACCTGCCGAGCGCAGGCTTGAGGCTGGGTGCAAATAAACAAGGAGGACAAATAAAAGGCATCACCAACTCTCCATCCAAGCCCTTCCTCCTCATTTCCTTCGCCCTCCCTAAAACCGAGGTTAGTACTTTTCCCCCCAGGATGCTGTGGCTCCTGTGACGTGTGGACGGCGCTCGCTGGCTGGGACCGTGAGTCGCTGTGAGCTCCTGCTGGCTGTCCCCCCCACAGCCGGGATGTTTTGGTCCCATTTCTCACTCGTCAGCAGGTGCCTGGTCCTCCCTGTGAATTCAGTGACTCCCGCTCACTTGCGGTGATGGACATCGGCTGTCCTGTAACTCTCCTGTAGGTGGGAGGGGCAGGGAGCTTCTACATGGAGGGGCCGTGGGTCCCACAGGCCACGAAGATCGCTGGGAAAAGCTCAGGCTAGACCTAGTCCTGGACGGTGGCAGTGACTGGTCATGGCCCAGGCGTGCTGGCAGCGCTGGGCGGGTGGCGGTCCTTCTCTGTCGGAGAGCTGTTGTGTTGTGGGTCATTGTGCTGCTGCTGTCATTATCTTGACCAAAGTGGTGGCCTTAGCGACGTCACAGAGCACACACAGCCCTAGTGCACACACCGCTCACATCATGTCGGGTTCTCACTATAGTCCTTTCCGTGCTCTGGCACAGCAGATACGGGGAGGGGGCTGTGGAGGGTGGGCAGGCAGCCCCCTGCTCCCCGTTCCGGTCATGCGGGGCCCCTCCTGCTGATACAGCCTCGCTGCGCCCGAGCCCAGGCCTCCGGGCAGTTACAGGGTCGCTCGCTCAGCAGCAGGGGGGCCGCAGGAGCGTTTCACGTGTGTGGCTCTCGTTTCTTCCTCCAAGCAGCCCTGTGAGGTGTTAGGACTGAATGTGAACTGACCCAGGGAAGACGTCTTCCGTTTGCTGGGGACAGTCTCTGCTTCTGCGTCTTGTCCCAGAATAACTGTTAACAGCACCTGCCTCACTCTCACAACTACCCCAGGTCACGTGAGACGCACCATCGCGCCGACCGTCTTCGTTTGACAGAGGAGGCAGGTGTCCCTGGATGTGCTCAGTTATGTCGCCGTCCACTCTCCGCAGGGCGGTCAGGCTCGGGGCGACTGGGAGAGAACGGTGGCGCCTGTCCTGTAGGCTGCACTGTCACGGTCCTTCCGTAATCACAGGCCCAGAGCCGGACCTCGGGCTGGACGTCGGGTGGGTACAGGGTTGCTATTATTACTCACAAGTCTTCAATGAGAGACGGAGTCTCAGGATGGGGACGTGGCCATGAGACTCACAGCCTCGTATTCCGGCTCCTTCCTGCTGCTGTGGGTGCGGGCGGGCTGTGCAGCCCCCCTTGTCACCTTGTCTTCAGGATCTTGTACCCAACAGCTCCAGCAGCTCGAAGTTTAGAAAGTTGATTTCTGCTGATTTAACTGAGTGTCTAAATCAAAAAACAGAAATTTAAAATCATTTTATTAGTATTTCCACTTCCTTTCGTGGCTGTGTGTGTGTGTGCATGTGTGTGCGTGCGCATGTGTGTGCGTGTGTCTGTGTGCATGTGTGTCTGTGTGCGCACGTGTGTGTTGTGTTGTGTGTACGTGTGTGTGGTGTGTGTGTGTGCGTGCACGTGTGCGTGCGATGGCCAGTGTGGCACTTTCAGCTGACGTGCGGTCTGGGACGCAGTCACCAGCTCTGCATCTCAAGGCTCGGGCTAGGTGACTCCTGAAGACCAGAAAGTTAACATTCACCCAAAGGTGCTTAGCTCAGATCCCGGAGCCTGACTGCTTGGTAAGATCCGGGCCGTGTAAATGTCAGAAATGTGAATCACTTATGGAGGACTGGTCATTCTCTGGGCACTGCCCTCGTCCAGGTCAGAACAGGAACATTCCAGCTGGTCCCCTGGGGAGCCAAGGAAAGGTGACGGTGGGGGAGGGAGAGGAGACGGCGGAGGGAGAGCAGGCGTCGCTCCCAGGAATCCGGACTTACAAGTGGCACAGTGCTCCGCAGACAGAACCAATTCGTGCTTGGTCGTCTAAGTTTATACCTTTGGTGTTTTTCCACCTGCTGCACCGCACGCCGGCAGCTGTGGGCTTTGTGAGCGAAGACGAGTACCTGGAGATCCAGGGCATCACGCGGGAGCAGTCGGGGGACTACGAGTGCAGCGCCTCCAACGACGTGGCTGCACCGGTGGTCCGGAGAGTCAAGGTCACGGTGAACTGTAAGTCGTCTCCTGAACCCCCACCCTGCACGTGCGTCAGGGCCGCAGCGGACAGCTGGATCGGGGGGTGGGAACCGGTGCCGCATCGCAGGCCACTGCTGCTTCCAAGAGCAGCGAGTCCAAATGCTAAATTTAAAAATAGATATAAATTGGAACTGAAAGTAATTTAATATAATCCCAAACTTGACTTCCATTCCCGAAAGATCGTTCAGTGACAGTCAGTGCATAATTTATATAACCATGTCTCTGAATCCCAATTTTCCCCATGCTTTACTCGTAACATCCCCAAGCTTCTCAGCCTCTAGACAGTCAAGTCCTTAATAGGGAGGGAAAAAATGTGTATGGAGGAAATACTATAATTTCTGTACTTATTTTATCTCACGCTTTTCCAATTAGATATGTTGATGGATGTGGTATACATCCGTAATTGAAGGATAAACAGATGAACAGACACATCATACGCACATTAGAGGGCGTGTCTCCAGACTTGAGTTTTGCTAATAAAGGGACAGAACTCAGAGAGCTGAAGCCACTGCTCTGGACCCGCACCCTCCTTTACCATCCAGACCCTCTCCCACCTCGGTCGTGCTCGGCCCTCCCCACCGCTCACGCTGCCCCCTCTTGGTTCCCCGCTCTGTACACAGACTCAGTTCTCTAAGATGCTCTGCAAGTCTTCCCTGCTGTGCCTGTTCCAGGAAGGCTTATGACAGAATAGAACCCGGGAACTACACCGGCAACTAAGCAGCCTTTGTCCTTCGAAACGTGGGAGAGGTGGAGGTAGAGGAAGAGTGCTGTGTTTTGGGGATTGCCCGTTCTTGACTAATATTGTGGTTTCTCTTACAATTTGAAGCTAATTAACGCACAACACTCTAAGGAGCAAGGAAACCTGTATGTCAACACTAACACTGTTTGTACCCAAATATGGTTTCGTTTTAAAACGACGTAGGGTGACTTACACTTAATAAAGACAAACCTAAAGAGTAAGGAAATGTAACAAAGGGAAAACCTACGTAGGGAATATGTGAGATCGAGGGGTGAGTCGGCACACGGTACATAGACCAGGAGGTGGTCAGACGTGGGTCCAGGACATGGCATCGAGTTTCTAAAGCAGAGAGGGGAAACATCGTCTGGTTTGACGTTTATGTCCAGAAGATAGAAGCAAATTAGTTGCTTGGGAAAAACACTGCTTCTTCTGGTACTGAGACCCCGAAAGAATTTCAGTTCACGGTCCCCACGAAGCGAGCGCAGCAGCCTCAGGTGCACCATTGCTGCGCTAAATAGAACCGCAGGTGCTCGTGGCTGTTTTCCACAATGCGCATCGGTGCACACTGCTGGAGCTGCCCTGGGTGGTTTGGCAAAGACCTGAGAGGAACGCAGGCCAAGTACATCGGTCCGCTTTGGTCTGGCTTGACTCTGGGACCCAGCTTGGAATACCTAGAAGAAGGGCTGAGCTGTAAATCCTTCAGGCAATTCTCCATGAATGTTACTTCTTGCAACTGAGCTTTGGATAGGAATTGAATGGTTCCAGGTCATGTGCGCTGGCTGGAACCGGGCTGCAGAAACTCTGTAAGGCTGCTGAAGGGTGCTGACTGTCACCCGCGTGGTGTGTGTAGGGTGTAGGGTTGGCAGCACCCTAGGAAAGTTGAAGGGCTTAAACAGGAAATCCGCCGGAGCCCCCGGTCTTTCAGGCCGTGCTCAGGGGAACGGGAGCAGTGCCTGCGAGGAAGGCCCAGCTCAGCCCCGGAACAGCAGAGAATGGGTTCACGCTCCCGCACAGCGCGGACAGCAGAGGCAGAGCAGGGAGCAGAAAACGAGGTCGGCGAGCGAGGCAGCCTGCCTCACTTCAGATGCATTTTGAGATGCTCTGCACCGTCTTCTTCCTGCAGATCCACCATACATCTCAGAGGCCAAGGGTACAGGCGTCCCCGTGGGACAGAAGGGGACACTGCAGTGTGAAGCCTCCGCAGTCCCCTCGGCAGAGTTCCAGTGGTACAAGGACGACAAGAGGTAGGACCCCCCCACCCCCTCCCCCCAGGAAAACGGGACCCCCCCACACCTCCCCCCAGGAGGAGGAGCTTTTCCAGGCTCCTCATTCCAGATGGATGCAAATGAATTCCTGCAAATTCCTCTTCCAAATTCCTCCTAGGAGGGGGACGCTACATACAAACAAGTCTTTTCTTCATATTAATGAATTTCAGCTATTTTTTATTTATTTGTTTTTATTGAAGTACAGTTAGTTTGCAATGCTGTGTTAATTTCTGGGGTACAGCATAATGATTAAGTTACACGTATATATATTCCTTTTCACATTCTTTTTCATCATAGGCCATTACAAGGTATGAATATGGCTCCCTGTGCTGTACAGGAGGACCTTGTTGTTTATCCATTTTATATATAGTAGTGTGTACCTGCACAATCCTCAACCCCCAATTTCTCCCTCTCCCCTCCCCACTGGAACCATAAGTCTGTTTTCTGTGTCTGTGCGTCTGTTTCTGTTCTGCCGTGTTTTAAAGTTGCCACACAGAACTATTACTCACCAACCAACAAGCCTGAGAAAAGCTATTGTAGGAAAGCGGAGTCTCACAGGAAGGGCCCCCGGGGCGCGGAGGCCTGTGACCGAGTTAGAGGCGCAGAGCCCGCGCGCTCTGCCTGCAGCTGGTTTTAACAGAGTCTCGGGTCTCAGGGATGCTCAGGGCGGCTACCACGCTGAGTAATGCTCAGGGCCTCCAGTTCTGCTCCAGACACTCTCCATGGCCTTGGGGCAAAGTGCCCTGACCCCAGGGAGCCCTCCCTGTGTGTCCAGATAGACCCTTCCCTGCAGGAGAAACGAGAGGGGCCTCCCCCGCCCTCCCCATTGTGGCCGCTGTGTCAGGATGGAGGGTCATTGCCAGGAGTTATCCGACGGCACACTAGCTCAGGGTTCAGCGGCTCAGGACGGCCAGGCCACACGGCCTTTACTGTTGTCAAAGAGCTGTTTTAAGGTGGTTGAGTGGCAAATAAGCATGCAAAAGCCGCCCACGGTCAGAACACTTCCATAGAAATGGGGAGGGGGCAACCCAGAAAGTCCTGTGGTGTATGTAGGGCAGAGAAGGAGGAAGGAGTTAAGGAGCTGAGAAGCTGGGGGAATAAAGCAACAAAGAGGACACTTACTTGTGGGCAAGAGAGCAGGCGAGCAGTTGCGGGCCGGGAGCCAGGCCGGGAGACTCAGGCCGGGAGACCCAGGCCAGTCTGCTGCCCACACGACTCAGAACGTCTCCAGGGCTTTGGGATTCTTTCCTGAAGAGGCCAGTCAGATACCAAGAGCTTCCAGTCTCTGCGTCAATCCCTGAATGTCATTTAGAACCAAGGCACTTAGTCACATTGTTGCTGAAATGTGTGAATTGAGTCTTGGGTGAAGTAGAGTTTTGGGTAAAGTTGTAAAGAAACTGCTTTACTTGCTCTGTCAGACAAAGGGGACCACAGGAGGTTAGCGCCTTTGGAGCTGCGTGTCCACCAGGGGGAAGGGTGGAGAAGTTTCATGGGAAGGGCCTGGGGTGCGGAGCAGGTGATGAGGACCAGAGGGTGCGGGCTTTGCGTTCTTCCTGTCCCGGAAGTCCACGCAGATGCGGTTGTGTCTGCGTCATGGAAATCTCGCGATGGGTTTGTGGTTCCTGGAGCTCAGGTGGCTCTCAGATTATGACCTTCTTCCTAGAACGAAGGAGGCTGGGGTGGGGGAGTGAGAGTGAGTGTAGCGGGAAGGCTGGGGGCTCTTCAGCACGAACGCAGCTGAGCAAGTTAAACAGAGATGGGTACTTGCCAGAGGAAAAGAAACGAGCGGCAAGAATTCCAAGTCAGAGTGACTCAGCGGCGTCAGTGTCGGCGAAGCCATTTTGGAACAGAGCTGCGTTTACTGCTTCAGTGTGACCCACTGCGTCTTGTCCTCCGCCTTCCAAGCGAGAAGCAGCTCTTTTCCATTTTTTAAGCACAAATTCTGGCAGCAACTTAGCTGGGCTGTGTGCATCCAGCCCACTTCAGAGATGGAAGCACTGAGGCAGGATGAGGTGAGAAGAAGTAGCTGGCTTTCCTCCTTTGTCCCAAGAATGCAGGATCAGGGAGAAGGGACTAATATTTCCCAAATAAATAAACATGGTTGCCTTTCTTTGAAATCCTGCTTCTTTCTTTCTTCCTTTTTATTCTGATAAGAAACTGAGGCGTGAAGTTCCAGGATCAGGAAAAAAAAAAAAAGCCCAAAACAGAAGTCTCCTGGGCTGCAGGGTAAATTCTTGAACTTTCAGGTGTCCAGGTCTCCATGGAATTAGTCCATTGAGTTGTATTTTCCTAGTCTTTACGGGATGGAAAATGCAAGCAACATGTAGGGGAAACAAGATCTTAAAGTCTGTGGAGGAAGAAGAGTGGCCCCTGGGCCAAAGCAGCCAAGGTGGGAGCGGCTGCTGCGTCTGGGGCGGGGCTGAGGCTCCACCAGGAGGAGAGGGGCCGTGTGGCCCGCGGGGCTTTCAGAGTCCCGGCCTCAGGCAGCTCCCGTTCCTCCTTTGAGTCCTTCTCACAGCAGCTTTAGTTGATTCTGCTCAGTTTTACATCTGGTGCTCACTTACTCATTTCCCGTGTTCTCCCACTGAATGGAGTTGTCTGTGTTCTAAAGTCTTGTTGGGGCCTGTCCTTCCTGGCCCGCCGAGGCTAGCGGGGTCACCTCCTCCAGGCAGGTCTCCCGGGGCAGACTGCGCCTGCCAGGGGGAAGATCAGCCTTAACTGAGCTCACGTTCCCGGTGCGATGAGCAGAGTCCTGAGGCCAATCAGAGGGGCCTGAGGGATGGGGACAGGCAGTTTTCTCAGGAGGCAGAGTGGAAGTCCCTCTTGACCATGACCTAGACACTCAGTGCCGGCCACTGGGCATCCGAGGGAGAGGAAAGGGAACACTGGACATAACGGCAGCCACCCATCCCCGGGACTTAGGCCATTGGAAAGCCTACTGGTTCCTTAAGAAACTGCAGCCTGGCAGGAGCGTGGGGCAGGGAGTGTGTGACCACACGGAGTGACACTCCAGCAGCTGCCATGTGCCACCAAGCACCGCCTGCCGCCCTATGTGCTTTTACCTAAAGATGTTTCAGAGCTGTCGGCTGCACCCGCGCCAGGTGAGTGTCTCTCCCCGCCGCGGAGCTGAAATCTAATTCACAGCTTGGGTCTGATGTGAAGGCTTCCTCCCCAGCCCAGGGATGGCATCAAAAATGGCAAAAAGGATCAATAAGCCAATGGAGCTCGCAGAAGCCTCCGGGCAGGTGGGCGGTAGGGCGCCTCTATGGGACCAGCGTCTACATAACAAGTTGGAAGTAGAAGTACCGGGGCCTCGGGCCACACAGCTGGATGCCTCACTCCGTTGGGACAGTGCTCACGTTTGAATGAAATCCGTGGACTCCGGCCAGAGCACTGCCCCTTGCTTATGAGCGAGAAAGGCTCCCGGAGGAGAATCTCCATCAGGGAAGGCAGGGAGAGCTCCTGCCACCCCCTCTGACCTCCCTGGAGTCCGGCGTGGGGTGAGGACTGAAGCCAGAGCCAGGGCTTCTCTTCTCATCACGGCGTCCCAAGGTTTTGGCAACGGGGAGGGCACCCTGTCGTCCAGCAGAGACAACACCCTCCGAGAAGACAAAGCCGTCTCTGCCGAAAACATACTGTGGCCCAGGGATGGGCAGGGGGTTGTCAAGCCTGACGCCACAGAAATAGATTGCGTGGAGGAACATTTCATGCGCCACAGATCGTTTTCCATCACGGTCCTGCTGGGCTCCTCCTTCTATGTCGGCCTTGAACATCGTCTTTCTCGGTCTGACGGCTCCGATACCAGCCATTCGCCCCTATCTGTGTCCCTGAGCCTGGCCCAGGATGCGCCGACCTTGACGTACGTGACTGTCCACGCATCCCGCGCCAGCCGGGCCCGACACGGGCTGTGACTGGGGTCCCTGAGGTCTTCCACTCGGCAGCACGACTCTCCCCACCAGCATTTGTCTTTCCTGGAGCGTAGACTCGGCTTCTGGGCGAGGAAGACTGATTACTTCAGGGAAAGGAAAAGGTTGGCGTAAAGCCCGTTCCCCGAAACAGGGCAGTCCGGAGTTTTTCTGAAAAGAGAGGAGCTGGTCTCATGATTTCCATGCAGATGTGCAGTTTCAGTAAGAATTGCCGCTCACAGCCCCCAGAGATGGGGCTGTGGCCCCCCCTTCTGGAGCAGAGGCCTCCTTTCTCGCTCCATCTGCCCCGTGATGCCATCTGTGCGGCTGCTAAGTCCACCTGACTGTCTCCCCACAAACCAGCCGTGGCCCCGACCGTCGGTCCTTGTGGCGCACGGGGCTCCGCCCAGGGATGCTGGGGAACACTGTCCTGGCCTCGGAGAGCCAAGCCCGTCCCTCTCAGGGTGAGCTGCCACAGTACTCCGGGCAGGTCACCTCTCCCGGCCCCACAGAGTCCGTGATGTAAAAATGGGCCCTGATTCTTCTACCCAAATCACAGCCACAAATAAGGCGTTACTTGTAGAATGCCTCAAGTCCTTCAAGGACGATTTGTTGACCCAGGTGCTTGGAAAACACTGTTCTTTCAAACCCTTCGGGTTTTCCTTCTCTTTGAAGGCTGGCTGTTTCGTTTTCACGGCCGTCACCTTCCTCAGCATCACCATCGACGTCCGTTACATCCATGCCTCTGGCACCACTGCAAGCACCGCGTGGCGCTGAAAGGCAGACAGCTGCCCCGGTGTACTTGCGGGCGGCACCTGCCTGCAGAGAACTTAGATTTCTGTACGGAGAGATGGATGTCGGGGCTGTGCCGGGAGTGTCCCCAGGCTCATGCGTACAACAAAGACACGCAACTGTGTGTGTCATGTGGCGAGCTCCCTGTGTGGCTGAGTGGGGAAACAAAAAATAGTGTTTGTAATGATGTCAGGAAGGGGGCAGAGAGAAGGCCAGAAGTCCAGAGTCTGCTTCCTTGTGAGAAAACCATGGATAATCATTCCCTTTCCCCTCGTTTTCTTGTCTGTCTCTTGTGTGTCTCAGGCTGGTTGAAGGGAGGAAGGGGGTCAAAGTGGAAAACAGACCTTTCCTCTCGAAGCTCATCTTCTTCAACGTCTCCGAGCACG